CAAGTGCAGCTGCCATTTTGGAAGGGCCCTAGGCCTCAGCCCTGCCCATTGTAGGAAAGAGAGAGGAAGGAAAGGGAAGGGAGCCTGCTGTTTCATCTTTCCTTGCCCTTCCCGTCTGGCCCAATCCCCATTCCAAAGTCCCCAAACCCTTTTTTCTCTCCCCACAAATAGTTCTTAGTGGATGAACAGAGTGAAGAGTCATAGGAGGAGTTTTGTCTGCTGTAGCATGTGCATGTTCTCTTTTGGCTTCCTTGGGGTGGGACGGAATTGTCCTGACTTAATGCAGGAGGAGCTCAATTAAACAGAACCCCTCGGTTAACCAGACTCATTGTCTCCCTCCACTTGCCTTTGGGGGGAAATGGACATCACAAGAACGCATAGTGGGGTGTCGGGTTTATCTACCAAGAACAGCTTTCAGGGTGTGTGTCGGGTCAACGCAGACTCGAGGCCAGTCCACAGCACACACCTATGCAGGCCTGGACAATGAGGCCTAGAGTCCCCAGCCTCCTCAGTCTCCCAAGAGGGGCCCAGCCTTGCTCTGGGGAGCAGCCTTGAACAGGCAAAGGTGTTTGGCATTCGGGGCTGACCCCCTAACAGTTTCCTGGTTGACCCTCCCTTTCCCTGAAGGCCCAGACCCCGAGTATCCTGGGGAATCAAGGTCGTATTGTTGGAGTTCTCTGTGGGGTAGCATGGTCACTTTCCACCTTAGGTGTGCCTCTGTTTTAGGGTTAGGGAAGGGAATATTTCAACAGGCTCAGCAGAACTTTGCCAGAGAGTTTTAGGTCTTTCCAAGGCTGGACAATGCTTGGTGGAAATGAAATGCCATATTATTATAAGCACCTCCAAACCCCTGCCTGTCCCTTGACGATAAAAAGGCCAATGTTCTGTCCGTAATCCATGGAATCCTCTGGTGAGAACTGGGACAGCTTGGACCTTTGTGACTCTTCCTAAGTCTCCAAATGAATGTCTTAGCAGGGAGCCAAGAAGAATTTGAGTTTCAGAAATACCTTTAACAAAATCCTGTCCTTGGGTTAGCCTGCAGATTGTTGGGTTGCGTTAGCTTCTCCATCAGATGGCCCCTTTCGAGCACCTCGGCCCTCCTCGGATCCACGTGGATCAGAATTTGTGAGTAATAAAAATAAGCGTTCAGGACAAGGAAAGAAAAAGGCGTTCGGAGCTTTGGTGATGAAGAGCTTGTTTTCTCAGTTATCTGGCTGCTGTATGTAAGCCCTGATCTGACCCAAGGCAGAGGAAAACTCCAGGAGCCAGAGAAGGCTAGAGCAGATTTGGCTTGCTGGAAGGCCCTCGCACACAGAGCTTTGCAGAGTGGGGGGCAAACCTGCCGTCATCCTTTTTAAGGAGAACCGAGAGGTTTTGTCCCTCCGTTTCCCATTCTCTCTCCTGGCGGCCCTTGGCCTACCTTCTATTCCTGAACTAGAATTCCCTCTGTACGCTTCCATCTACATGACTCATTATGGTGTTCCTGCAACAGGAAACATTGTTCTGAAAACAGCTTCTCCTGCCTCGCCCACCCATTACTCAGCTAGCCACCTACTTTTCCTTATCATTCAGTTTTTCAGGTGGTAGAAAAATGGATGAGGTTGGGGGAATCCCTCAGTCTACAGGCCCATTGAGGCCTGCTCACAAGCCCACTGACTGTGGAGATCCGAGGTTGACTTCTTTTTGGTTGGCCCTGGGTCCCAGTCACATATATGATACTCTAATCTTTTTGGTGAAATGGAGGAGCTGTAGTCCTCAGATCTCCGCCACACTGAGGATTGTGCCATACTGTGCAAGGCCACTGAGGACGATGGGACTGTTGGGGTCCATTTCCCCTTTGGCCCAGTCTCTGAGAAGACCTGGATGCAAGGGGATGCCTGAAAATGCAAATTAAGCCCCTGCAACTTAGCCCAGAGAGGCTGCTCATGAGTCAAGAGGGCTGAGGACAAAACAGAATTCATATTTTAAAGAAAGGTTAGGGGGAGGATGGAAAATCATAATTACCTTCAGAGTTGCTGTAATAAATTATTTATTAATGTAAATTATTTCACAGGAAAAGAACATAGAGGAAACTTGAGCAGAAGGGTCATACATTATGTATAAAAGGGACTGTAAAAATATTACAGCAGCCCATTTGTGGTTCACTTTGTGTCAGCATTTTAATTATAAACCCTTATTTTCAGTGTTTAATTATTTCATTGTTAAATTCTACTCTTCATGGTTAAAAGGGGTTGGGCCCGGGGGCACTTTCTGGATTAATTTCTAGAAGGCAAACCGATTGGGAACTCTGAGTGGGTGGAGGAGGCCCCAGGCCAATTTGGGGGGCCACCCCTAGTGCCAGCTCTTCGGGGTAGAGGAGGGTCCAGGCCGAGCTAGGGGGCCACCACTAAGCATCCATTCTGCTGTTTGTAACTTCTGAGGCCTTTTCCAAGGCAAGTTTCTGGTCTCTGGCTTCTTGGGGTGAACAATTTAATGAATTTTCCTACCGGCACAGATAGCTATTTTGATTGTGAACATAGAACTTGGTTGAGAAACACTCCCTGAGTTCAGCTTTGTTCCTCTTTTACTGAAGCGGTAGAATGAGCTTCATTTTCAGTCAAAGGGATATAAATAATATGTCCTTAAAATAATTTAGCATTTGTCTTTACCTAGCATGCTAGAATGATTTCTCGGGGCATATCTCTATTTTAAGCCTCCCCCCCACCCCATGCACTCCAGACAGAAATGGAAACAATTAAAATTAAAATTGCACATAATTGCTGTTTGCAACGAGAAATTAAACGTGAACATCCCACTTGGTGATTATTTCTCCTAGTCTTCCCTAAGGTGGAGGGAATCCAATTTAAATTGAATTAGTTAAAACTTCAATGTTTCTTTCATAGTGCAAGATTCAGGGATGGCCATCACTAAACTTTATTTACATCTTGCCTTTGGATGGCAGAGGGATTGGGCCTGTGGTGGTTGGCCTGAGAGGGCAGAAAAGTTAAGACAGCTTCCTCCTAGGTCTTAGAGCCTTCCCTGGGAGGAATTGCCCAGGAGCTTTATGAAGCTCTCAGGACCTCTGAGCTCTGCACTAAGGGGAGGAGGGTGGGAG